TGGGATTACAGGCTTGAGCCACCACGCCCGGCCTGAACACCATCAATTTTAACGCTGCTGTTTTGGCCAGTGCAGTGGGTTGCTTGGATTCCGGCACTGGGAATCAATAAATTGGACATCCACTCAGAAACCTAATTAGAAAGGCGGTAATTGTAAAGATGACAGATGGATAAATTTATAACGAATGGAAGAAACCAGACTAAAAAGGCTGAGAATACCCAAAATCAGAATGCCTCTCCCTCCACAGGGGATTCCAGTTCCTCATCAGCAACAGAACAAGCCCTGATGGAGAAGGACAGTGTTCCATTAACAGAAGTAGGCTTCAGAAGGTGGATGATAAGAAACTTGTGGGAGTTAAAAGAACTTGTTCTAACCCAATGTAAAGAAACTAAGAACTTTGAAAAAAGGTTTGACGAAATGCTAACAAGAATAGACAATATAGAGAGGAATATAAATGAATTAACCGAGTTGAAAAATGCAACACAAGAACTTTGCGAAATATGCACAAGTTTTAATAGCTGAATTGATCAAGCAGAAGAAAGGATATCAGAGGTCGAAGACCAACTTAATGAAATAAACTGAGAAGACAAGATTAGAGATAAAAGGATAAAAAGGAATGAGCAAAGTCTTCAAGAAATATGGGACTATGTGAAAAGACCTAATCTATGTTTGATAGGTGTACCTGAATATGACAAAGAAAATGAATCCAAGCTGGAAAATACTCTTCACAATATTATTCAGGAAAACTTTCCCAACCTAGCAAGGCAGGACAATATTCAACTCCAGGTAATACAGAGAACACCACAGAGATATTCCTCAAGAAGAGCAACCCCAAGGCACATAATCGTTAGATTCACCAGGGTTGAAACGAAGGAGAAAATACTAAGGGCAGCCAGAGAGAAAGGTCAGGTTACCCACAAAGGGAAGCCTATCAGACTTAGAGCAGATCTCTCAGCAGAAACCCTACAAGACAGAAGAGAGTGGGGGCCAATATTCAATATCCTTAAAGAAAAGAACTTTCAGCCCAGAATTTCATATCCAGCCAAACTAAGCTTCACAACTGAAGGAAAAATAAAATTTTTTATGAACAAGAAAGTACTCAGAGATTTTATTACCACCAGGCCTGCTTTACAAGAGCTTCTGAAGAAAGCACTACATATAGAAAGGAACAACCAGTATTAGCCTTTCCAAAAATACACCAAAAAGTAAAGAGCATCAACATAATGAAGAATTTACATCAACAAATGGACAAAACAGCCAGCTAACATCAAACGGCAGTAATCCTAAATTTAAATAGACTAAATCCCTTAATCAAAAGATACAGTCAAAATCCAATGGTATGCTGCATCCAGACCCATTTCACATGCAAGGATACACAAAGACTCAAACAAAGGGATGGAGAAAGATTTACCAACCAAATGGAGAGCATAAATAAATAAATAAGTAAATAAAAAGCAGGAGTTGCAATTCTCACCTCTGATAAAATAGATTTTAAAGCAATAAAGATATAGTGGTAAAAGGATCAATGCAACAAGAAGAGCTAACGATACGAAATATATACACACCCAATACAGGAACACCCAGATACGTAAGACCTATAAAGAGACTTAGACTCCCTAGACTCCCACACAATAATAGTGGGAGACTTCAACATCAGTATTAGATAGATCCATGAGACAGAAAATTAATAAGGATATCCAAGACTTGAACTCAGATCCAGAACAAATAAACTTAATAAACATTTATAGAACTCTCCACTTTAAATACACAAACTATACATTCTTATCAGTATCACACCACACCTACTCATAGCTTTAAATGAAATATTGATCGGCCATTATTAAGCACAATTATTGGCATAAAAGAAGTTTTCAATACCCATTTTTAGACTAAAACAACATTCCTGTTCTCTCTCCCTCTTTTTCTTCCTGTCTGCCTCTCCTTCATTCTTTTTTTCATTCTTTCTTTCTCTCCTTCTTTCAAAAAAAAAAATACTGAATTCCTTACTCTACCATCTTTCCAAGTGCGTTTCTGATTTAGCCATAAACTGTAAGTAAAACACCAACAAACTGGAGATGATCAAAATTTAAGGTAACGGCTGTTCCAAAAATCACTTTTAGGAAAATGAAGAAAAAAAAAAAGTAATCCACAGACCGGGAAGAAATATTTGCAATACACAAATATGATACAGAACTTCTATTTACAATCTATAAGAAGACTCAAAACTCAATAATAAGAAAACAAATTACCCAATTAAAAAACAGGCAAAAGATGTGAATGGATACTTCACCACACAAGAGTTATGGATGGCAAATAAGCAAGTGAAAAGACAGTAAATATCAGTAGTCGTTGGCAGTATGCAAATTAAAACCATGACAAGATCGCTCCACATATTACTCTAATGACCTGATTTTTCCTTTGAAGGACAATACCAATGCTGGTGAGGATGCAGACCAAATCAGATGCTCATCCACTGCTGGTGGAAGGGCAAAAGGGTCACTTTGGAAACCAGTTAACAGATTGTGTATAAAGTTAAATATGCATTTACCATATGACCAGCAATTATGCTGCTAGGTATCTACCCATGAGAAATGAAGACTTCTGCCTACATAAAAATCTATGTGCAAATGCATGTAGCAAGTTTATTCGTAATCACCCAAAACTGGAAGCAAACTAAATGTCCCTCAACTGGTGAATGGATAAATCAGTCGTGGAATATCCATATAATAAAATAATTCTCAGCAATAAAAAGGAACAAACTATTAATACAAGCAAGCAAACTGTTGATGCCACAACAGAGACACATTTCCGCATTTTTCTAAGTTAAGGAAGGCAGACTCAGAAGCCTAAACACCATGTGCTTCCATTTATATGACATTCTGGAAGTGGCAAAGCGATTGGAAGAAGAGGAATAACCTGAGGTCAGGGGCTGAGACTGTGGGAGGAGATTGACTAAAAGAGGTAAAAGAGAACTTCCTGAAGTGGAGAAATGTTGTAGACCATGATGGCAGTGGTAGGTAATAGCATGGCTGTTTATATCATCAAAAGTCATAAAATTGTTCACCTAATGAAAACAATTTATGCCACGTTAAGTCAGGCCTCAGTGACGGTTACTTAAATAAAAGAAACACACAGAAAAACACCAGTGCAGACAGGCACAGTCTCCTGAAAGGCAGCTCGGGAAGGAGCTTCAGCTGTGTCTGTGCACATGCAGTTTACGCCTCTTCCTAAGTGGCCAGTGGCTGAGTCTCTTTAGGGGTGGCCTTGTGTTAAGTGCAGTAGAGCTCACGAAAGAGGCTTTCCAAACCGCTGGGAAACCCAGCAGGGGGCTTCATGGTTAACCTACAGAAGGGATTAGACATGGCAGACCGACTGGAAGAGGGGTCTGGGAAACTGATGTTGAGGTTGATATTTTTCAGCAAGCCCATTATCCTTACTCAGGTTGCGTAACACAGACCAATAACAGCAAAACCTCCAGAAAAAGCTTCATGTACACTCCACATAGGATTAAGAAACAGTCAACTGTCGTACTCAAGTATATATATGTACTCTAAATTTAGGTGGCCTGGGGACGGTTAGCCACCCCAGGGTTCCCTCACTGAAGTCAGCTTCTACTGCATTCACTTAAAGAAGAAATAAGCCGCTTTACCTGAAAAAGCAAGGCTCTTAACCTCTAGCTTCACTCGTCTTGCCAACTCCTCAAGGAAGAGACTCTCTTGGGGGCAGGGACCTCAGACAGAAACATGCACAGCTCCAGGCACCAGGAGTATTCAAACGCCTTGGTGCTGACCTGGCCATTGAAGAGACTCCACGGGGGGGTCGCCTCGAACACAAAGCGCATCGCACTGCCAGTGAGGTTCTCAGAAAACACTCCCTTTCCTCCTAAGACATCTGAGGGAAATATTTTACAAATTGAAGTATGTTTTCCCAGAGGGGACCATTTCTTCATCTCATTTGATTATCCATGAGGTTTTAAGCACCACAGTTTAAAGGGGTTTCACTAGAATAAATTTTTGAATCAAATGGCTATGAAATCCCAACGGGCCCCCAACTGCTTTCCTTTGGTAGCACACCATGAGCAACTGGAATTAAAATGGAACCAGAGAAGATAATCTATGCAAAGATAAAGCCAGCTGAAAGGTAAAAATAAATGAGAACAAATCAGCCACGCAGTAGAACATTCACAGCTCCAGGAAAATATCAATTAAAAGTATTAGCTGCAAATATTTCCTGAGGAACTAACACTAAAATCCCCCACTGTGTCTCTCTTGCTATTTACCCAGGTGTTTTAATTTGCTCCGAATGCAAAACGCTTTTCTTCCTCATTTTGGTTTCCCATTTGCTTTATTCCTCTCTAGGCAGAATAATGACTGGATGCTTTAAAACATATGGCTGTTTTGACAACTTAGAATAAAGTAAGTGAGTTATGTCTTTATCACTAAGAAACCCTATAATTTGGTAATTTGGCACTCAGCTACTTTCAGTAGAAAGAGAAGTCAGCTTAACTGAGCATCAGCCGTGTCTTACACAGTGTGCCAGGCATCGCGGTTAGAAAAATAGTGGAGACTTAGTCCTGCTTCAAGGAGCTCACAGCCCAGCATATAATGCAGGTATGCAACCAAATTATAATACGTCATCATAGGCGATACAGCAAAGGTACAGTCTACGGAGGGCCAGGAAATGAGTATCCCCATCTGTGAATAGTCTTCGAAGCTGTCTTCAAAGCCTGCTATTTGAAGGCTGGCCAGTCATTCCCAAAGTAAACAGGGCAGAAAGACATTCCAGACAGAGGAAATAGCATGTGGGGAAAGGGTGAGAAATACTGACAGCATGATGCATTTCAGGGGCCACAAGAATTTAGCTACTGGAGGACTATCAGGTGCAAGGTGGAAGAGGACTCATGAGAAAGCAACAAGCAGAGGCCAGAGCACAAAGAACCCTGTCTGCCATGCCAAGGAGTTCACACCTCATAGTGGGCAATGGGGTTGCCAAGGCAAGGGTTCTAAGCAGAAGACAGACAAAATTCTCTCTCTATTTTAGAAAGATTACTTCGTCAGCGTAGGGAATGTCAGAGCCTGAACTAAAGCCTATGGCAGAGGGAAGAGGAAGATAATTCACTGAAGAATTTTCAGAGAAATACAACCAACCTATGTGGACTCTGGAAGGAGGAGAAAGTAAAAGTTAGGTAAGTCGGGCCGGGCACGGTGGCTCACGCCTGTGATCCCAGCACTTTGGGAGGCCGAGGTGGGTGGATCACGAGGTCAAGAGATCGAGACCATCCTGGTCAACATGGTGAAACCCCGTCTCTACTAAAAATACAAAAAATTAGCTGGGCACGATGGTGCATGCCTGTAATCCCAGCTACTCAGGAGGCTGAAGCAGGAGAATTGCCTCAACCCAGGAGGCGGAGGTTGCGGTGAGCCGAGATCGCGCCATTGCACTCCAGCCTGGGTAACAAGAGAGAATCTCCGTCTCAAAAAAAAAAAAAAGTTAGATAAGTCAACTTTCTAAATTAGAAGGCTATGTGGTTGAGGATGCCACCAAAGAGATGGCAAATAGAGAAGGGACTTAAAGGATGGAGGTGAGTGCCATGGGCTAAATATGTGTGTCCCCCCTACAAATTCCTAGGTTGAAACCTAATCCCCAGTGTGATGATACTAAGAGGTAGAGCCATTGGGAGGTGGCTAAGTCATATGGGCAGAGCCCTCGTGAATGGAATTAGCGCCCTCATAAAAGTGACCTGAAAGAGTTTGTCTGCCCCTCCCACCATCTATGAGAAACCAGCCCTGATCAGATATCAAATATTCTGATGCTTTGATCTTAGGCTTTCTAGCATCCAGAACTGTCAGAAATAAATTTTTGTTGTTTTTAAGTTACCTAGTCTAAGGGATTTTCTTATAGCAATTATAATGAACTAAGACAGCTAAGAAGAGAATTATTCCATTTTAGATGGACTGAGTTTTCTATCTGGGTGGAGATATCTGGGAAGTAGTTCTTTTAAACCTTATGGTAGAAACTCACCCAAGGAGAAGGGGAGGGGAGCAGAACACTAAAGCCGATCCTGGGGAATGCCACCTACATGGCCTGACAGGCGGAGGATGCTGAGAACAAGAGCAATGTGTCCAAATGAGCAATGAGTCCATGCTAGAGATCTTTTGACTCTTTACCTGTTTGAAGAGTCCTTTCTTCAAACAAAATCTCAGGTGAAGCCCAGAATGTAAAACAGACATTGAGCTGCTCTCCCTGAAGTAACTTCACCCACCCTGAGCCCCTTCCCGACCTCTGTAGCCAACAGAGTACAGCCTCGGAAGCACAGGACTAAAGATACAGTGTGAATTAGGGAGCATAGATACTCAACAGCAGAAGGTTTGAGACACAGGTCTCCCCCAGAAAAGTAGATAAAGGAAATGAGAACTATATTGATGGATGTCAACACAGAGTGCAGACAGTTAGAGCTAGAGGACCATTTCCCTGCTTTCCACTGAATAAAGGGAGGTCCAGAGTTGGGTGGTTGGTTTGGTAGTCAGGTTAAGTCTGGTCATAGTCCAGAGAGTGGCTGAGAGTGCAGGATTCTTACTCCTATATCCATTTCATTCCAGTTTCCCTGGAACTCAACCTGGACCTGAAACCGAAGCCTGAGGTAGGATTAGCAATTCCATCATAAGCTCTTTGGAGGTGGAAGCTATGGGTTTGGACTTCTGCACAGTGGGCACCCTGAAAGAGCTCATCAAACACTTCCTGCTTGAGTGGCAGAGCACATCTGAAAAAGACCTGGGCTTCCTCAGAACCTGGGCTGCTCTCCTTAGGACAGAGGATTTTCTGATCAAACGGAATATCTGCACTTATGCAGCATTATCCACCAGAATAGCTCCATAAACCAAGGTAGACGGCACTGGAGGACTTACTGAGACAGCTGCCTGTCATATGGCAAAACTATTTATGGAAAGACTGTAGATGATTATTACAATAGCATTATTGAATGCCAACCTTCCCTATTGTCAATGGCTCCAAGAAACAGGGCAGGAAGTGAGAGCTTAGAGCACATCACTTCTATCCTTTCCATGCCATCATGTGGCTTCTCATTGCTAAAATATCCTAGAGGAGTCAGTCACAACACAAAAACTCTTGGAATTAGGAGGTGAGCCTGAAAGATTTATTATCCACCAACCTCAAGGTCCGGTCTCAGACAGATACTGGAAGAGCAAGAAGGAGCAGGCAAGCAATTTGCCTTTTAATTTATCTTGCTCTTCTGGATGACATTAACTGTTGGCTGCAGCGCAATTCACCTCTAAGTTTGCTGCTGGGGAAGTTAGTGATGTTGCTTGCTAAAGCTTTACCACTATGCAGAGTTTTTCCCAACTGGGTCTATGCACGTTTCTCTTTTATACTAGTGGGGTGAAGATGAGGGCTTTGATCCTTCGTCTCATACAGAATCTCCCACTTGAATAAGTAGTCTTGACACAGACCATGGGACAGCAAGACATGGTAAATACACAACTCAGTTTTCTGTCCAAAGAAATCCAAGTCTCTTCCTTTTCCAGAGGTGAAATCAGAGGTAATTTAAATAGGCAAGGGGAAATTATTCAAACCCAATCTGGCTTGAAAGAAGGAAATTCTACTTCCAATGTTCCCAAGTATCAAATGTGGATTTTAAGGATCAAATGGAAAACAGAGACTAGCTAATGATTGCTCAACTCCAAAAGTCCCCGCAAGTAACACAAATGAGTTGATGTCCTTCTAATGCTGTTCTGGAATCCTGTTAGTGGCACAGAATGTCCCACAAGATTCCAGGAATTTCTATATTGGCAACACAAGCACAAGTAATGTTCTCAGCATTCAATTATCTAATAGGAGCTGGTTTGGGGAGTGCTGTCTACAGGAGGTGCTTTTTGCTGGCTTTTTAAAATAAACAAGTTGCCGAAAGCCAAAAAAGAACCTCACAAACCCACCCCTGGCACATGTCTTGGTGTGGAGCTCAGGTTTTCGAGGTGAACTACCAAGCAGACATTTTGGGGAAGCCGAAGAACAGAGAACAGTCAGGATACAACTTTAAGCCTACGAGTCACATCATTCAGCTTAAGCGAGTTTAGACCCAACCATTGGGAACCAGGGACAGATGTGGGTTAATCTCAGGATGTCCATCTGGACCTTCTGCCTTCTAACTGAGGCATCCTTATTCAGCTGCCAGTTCTCAGGAGCAAGTACCTATAACCTGGATAAGTGCTCCCAGCCAGACCAGCCTTGGGCACTGCTTCTGAACTTGGCCTCAACAAGGAGGCTGAAGGGAAGCAATCTGATTACAGTAACAGCATCTGGACTCTCCGTGTGCCTGCCTCTTCCCTGGAGACACTCATTAAAGTCCTGCTGCAGCTCCCAGAGGCTATGAACAGTAAGTAGTCACAAGAGCCACCGTCTCTTTGAGCACAATGCAGGCATTCTAGACACAGCTGACCCTTGCACAACTCAGGTTCACACTGTGTAGGTTTGCTTACACATTTTTTTTTTCAATAAAAGTTCCACCTAGTGTGCCTGCCTCTCCTGCCTCCCCTTCTATCTCCTCCACCTCTTCCATCTCTGCCACTCCTGAGGCAGTAAGACCAACCTCTTCTCTTTCTCCTCCTTGGCCTACTCAACATGAAGATGATGAAGATGAAGAGCTTTATGACGATCCACTTCTTAATAAATCATAGATTTTCTTTTCCTTATGACTTTCTTAGTAACATTTTCTGTTCTCTAGTTTGTTTTAAGAATACCTTATAGTTGACCTGTGAACAATTTGGGGGCTAAGCGTGCCACCCTGCTGTGCACTCAAAAATCTGAGAACTGTGACTTCCCCAAACTTAACCGTGAATAACCTATCATTGATCAGAAGCCTTGTCAGTAACATAAACAGTCAATCAACACATTTTATATGTATTTGAAATGTATGAGGCTACAGGTACAGAGGCACTTAAACCTATTCTTGATTTTTTTTTTTTTTTTTTTTTGAGACAGATTTTCGCTCATTACCTGGGCTGGAGTGCAATGGCGCGATCTCGGCTCACCGCAACCTCCGCCTCCTGAGTTCAGGCAATTCTCCTGCCTCAGCCTCCCAAGTAGCTGGGATTACAGGCACGCACCACCATGCTCAGCTAATTTTTTGTATTTTTAGTAGAGTCGGGGTTTCACCATGTTGACCAGGATGGTCTCGATCTCTTGACCTCGTGATCCACCCGCCTCGGCCTCCCAAAGTGCTGGGATTACAGGCGTGAGTCACGATTCTCAATTTTTAAAAGTTATATAGAGGCAACAGTGGAAACTACCCATGTCCCCCAAACACACACATTGTCTCCTGGCCCCCTAGTCATACTTGACACTATGATCTTTCTTACTTCATCCCACAACAAATCATGTGGGAAGATGCTGGCTCTTATTCCTGTAGGCTGATTTCTTTTAGAGAGGGAAAACCCTGGCTCTAAGGCCAGGAGAGAAGGGGACAGACAGAAGTTCAGGTAGGTTCCCTTGGGGCTTAGAACTATGAACACTAATGAGGCCCCGGTTTGGCCCTGCTGTCAACCTACTGCCCCTGGAATCACTGCTTTGGACTGATGCCCTGATTGTCAGAAGAATCCTGCCGAAGCACAGGTATTTCCTTGGCACACTGTACTGACTCACGGATCCTGAATCACTTCATCGTCAATGTGAAAGGCAGCACAGCGGAGCTGTTCATGTGGGTGAGACTGTGTTCAAATCTGGACTCAACCTCATACTAACTGTAATCTTGGCTTGGCTTCTCTGTGTTTCTTTTTTTTTTTTTCTGAGACGGAGTTTCGCTCTTGTTACCCAGGCTGGAGTGCAATGGTGTGATCTCGGCTCACTGCAACCTCCAACTCCTGGGTTCAAGCAATTCTCCTGCCTCAGCCTCCTGAGTAGCTGGGATTACAGGCACGCACCACCACGCCCAGCTAATTTTTTGTATTTTTAGTAGAGACGGGGTTTCACCATGTTGACCAGGATGGTCTCGATCTCTTGACCTCGTGATCCACCCGCCTTGGCCTCCCAAAGTGCTGGGATTACAGGCTTGAGCCACTGCGCCCAGCCCTCTGTGTTTCTTTATCTGTAAATGAGGATGCCAGTGCAACAATAGTGCCTATATCCTAAGAAGGTTATGAAAAGTAATGGACCAGGTACCTATAAAGATCTTAAAACCATGAGTTTGCATATTGAAACCACTTTACTTTTTGGCACTAAGGACTACAAAGAACATTCCTAAAGACCCACCTGGAAGAAAATTAAATTCTTCAGAGAGAAATGAGATAGGCACATCCACGTTAGCATTCTAGGTCCAAAGTGGTAAGTACTGTGAGAGAGGGACATGGACATTTTAAGGGAGCTTTGAGAAGGAGTAATGTCTTCCACAGTGATAGAGCAGGGACTGGGAAAACTCTGGAGAAGGTGGCAAGGGAACCCAGCCTTAGAAGACATAGGAATTTTATACAGAGTTGTGGAAAATGTGGGCACACCACCAGAAAGAAGTGTATGATAAAAGACAAAGAGGTAGAAGAACCTGAGGTTTGCCTGGGGAAGAAAAAATAGTTGGTCAGCGCGGGGTTTTTTGTTTTCTTAAATAGGGTCACTAGGATACCGCACCTGCACGCCTGCAAAGGTCTTCCGGTCTTTCTTCCTCAGAGCAGCCAGAGTGGTTTCGTGAAAACACAACCCAGATCCGATCTCTTCCTTCTGCTAGTTTCTCATTGCATTTGGAATAAAATCCAAGCACCGTACCAAGGTCTATGAGGCCCAGCTTGTTCTAGCCCCCTCTTCTCTCTTCAATTTCAATTGTCGTGGTTTCTCTGGTCCTTTAAGTTCCAGCTGCACTGGCTTGGCCTCTTTTTTGCTCCTCTGACATCTAAGCTCGTTCCTGCCTTAAAGTCTCTGCATTCACTCTTGCCTCAGCTCAGAATGTTTTGTTTTTTTTTATTTAAGTTCTGGGATCTATGTGCAGAACGTGCAGGTTTGTTACATCAGTGTACATGTGCCATGGTGGTTTCCTACACCCATCAACACATCATCTAGGTTTTAAGCCTCACATGCATTAGGTATTTGTCCTCATGCTCTCCCTCCTCTTGCTCCCAACCCCCAACAGGCCCTGGTGTGTGATGTTCCCCTCCCTGTGTCCATGTGTTCCCACTGTTCATCTCCCACTTATGAGTGAGAACATGCGGCATTCTGTTTTCTGTTCCTGTGTTAGTTTGGTGAGAACAATAGTTTCCAGCTTCAACCATGTCCTTGCAAAGGACATGAACTCACCCTTTTCTATGGCTGCATAGTATTCCATGGTGTATATGTGCCACATTTTCTTAATCTAGTCTGTCACTGATGGGCATGTGAGTTGGTTCCAAGTTTTTGCTATTGTGAATAGTGCTGCAGTGAACATATGTGTGCATGTGTCTTTATAGCAGAATGATTTCTAATCCTTTGGGTATATACCCAGTAATGGGGCTACTAGGTCAAATGGTATTTCTGGTTCCAGATCCTTGAGGAATCGCCCATCAGACTAATAGCAGTTCTCTCTGCAGAAACCCTACAAGCCATTAGGGTGGGGGAGGGTGGGCAATATTCAACATTGTTAAAGAATTTTAAACTCAGAATTTCATATGCAGGGGAGCTTTTGAAAAATAACAGTGCTTCATCCTCACCCCAGGCCCGTAGATTCTGATTTAGTGGGTCTCCATAGGCTTGGAACATTAGTAAAGCTGTGGTTCTGCTGGCTAAAAGCCAGAGGGTGGACTAGAGAGGCAGTGAAGAGTCAGCAGTGGAAGCCTCGACCACTGGCTGGGAGGGAGGGAAGGTGCCTGGGAGTCTCCCCAGGCTCAGGCTTAGATGGCCAAGGACCAAGAGGGGCTGTTCAGTGACACTCACAGCAAAGATGGAAGCAGCACAGAACAAAGAAATGTGAGGGGGCTCCTGTGTCTTCCTTGACATCACATAAGAGACTCATCATCCATATCTGATGGGAATCATTGGATGGGTGTTTTACCTCACCTATGGACAAGGAGCCGCACATGGGTGGTACCTGTATTCTGAAAAGCTTGCCTTGCCTTGATTCTGAACCTGCCTGTCAGTGTCCTCTCAGTTATTTCCCTTCTGATCCCTACAACTCTCTTCACGAGTTTCCCAGTCGGTACCCAAGGTTTGTATGGTCGGCTTTGCCAGGCGTGTTCACACTTATCTGCACCAATGCCTACATGCATCTGTAGGCAGTCAATGCATCCTTTCTCTGCTCCGGTCTTTCCACTCCAGAGCTTCATCCATTTTAGTCAGCCTACTCTCCTTTGAATGATCCCCATGCTCTCTCTTTGCATCTTCTCCAGTTCTGCTGATGTGAGAGCCTCAACCAGCATCCTGTATCCCAGGTGTGGATTCTGTGAGGTTCTAGGAACGACCATCATTCATTAAATGGAGACCTGCTCCTTTCCCAGTGAAACCCAGCCTCTTCACTGGGACCTGGTCACATTGCTGTATACATGAGCTTTCTTGCCCATTTAATATATATATGTTACATATGTATATATGTATGTATACACACACAGTACAATAATTTGTTCCAGCTTAAAACTAGGTACCTGTTAGACTCAAAATGCAAGGTATGACTATTTCAGATTAAAGGGGCTTATTTTGAACCCAGTGGAAGGATGTCCTGTCTTCAAGACATAAGAGGCTTTCTTTGATTTCATTTTTCTTGGTCCCTATCTATTCAAACACTGCTTAGCAAATGAAGTTCTGCGGAAGAGAAGGAGCTGGAATGGCATCACTGACATCCTCAAAGAACAGAGGAACATTTTTAGCACAAGCACCGTCACACACATTTTCCACTGCCTCAATAAGATGACATGCACTGTACGAAAATGACACCTGCCATCTATTCTTAAGTACATCACAAAATACAGTGATTTTATACATAAACCTTTAACAGAGTAGGAACAATGAGACACAAGCTCAGCGATCCTTTGTTTCCAGTCACCCTGGGTGTGGCAGCCATAGGCACAAGGGCAGAAACACACTCGTTCCTGGACTCTGCTGCAAAGGAGACCAGGCGCCACAAACCCTTCCTGCACTCACCCAAGCCCTCTACTTTTAAATTTTATTTTATTTTTTCCTTATTTCAAAACTATCTAAGGACCAACTGGTTCCAGGCAGCTCTTTCAGTATATTAATTTTTAATTGGAGAAATAGCAATTAGATGCTGCATTGATTGCCAGTTCCCGTAATCTTTTTTAATTTGAGATAACAATCTATTCAAAAAATGAGTTTGTCCCTAAAATATCTTTTCTTAATGGCAATAATAACTGAAGTTATATACAAAACCAGCAGAGCAGCCCACAGGGAAGGAGTCTAAATTATACATGGAATATTCTGCACCTGGTTTGTCAGTTACAAGAAAAACTTTACCACATGTGCCCTAGGAAAATGGTCAATTTCATATGTTGTCTTTATTAATATCATTTCTGAAACGACCAGATAATCTCTGAAGAGAAGATTTTTCATGGTATTAAACCTGCTTTTCTATACCCAAGAAACCTAAGATATGTAGATAATAAAATTCTTGTTTAACTCCTTGCTGTAGACACTGACAGAAGGCAGATTGTAAGGGAGAAAGAGAAACTAGAGAGGAATCAACTCCCTGCTTAGGAAGAACTCTGGGGCTGAGCAGATAGGAATTCAAGCTCAGTACATAGGCGAGCACGTCTCAAGTTTTTGCCAGGTATTGCTAGGAGTCAAGAAAGTGAAGGCTTCTGGGGAAACCTCCAATAAAGACAATCACCTTCTTCTAGCGCAGTTCTGAACAACTGGAGAAAACAGAAGCATCAAGATGGAAGCCAAATATCACCTCTTTTATCAGAGAGACACTAAGCAAGAGCCTCTGGCTTAGGGTGAGAGTCCATCAGACCAGCTAACTGAACCCCCAAACTAGGAAGGTTTCTTACCACCCCATCATGACATGACTGCCTGCCCAGAAAAGAATTGCATATTGACACATAAGGGACCTCAGGTATTCTCTAGAAAAGAGGAAGAGGAGGGCACTCAAGAGAAAGAACAAAGGAGCTGCCATGCCGAACATACTTAGTTACTCTTCCCACATTTACCAATAGAAATGTCTACTCTACCTCCCCAGGAGCATGTGACAAAGAGAGAAGAGAGGCTGTGAATGTGTATATGAAAAATTGCTCCCCATGGAAACCAAGATCAGAGAAAATGAATTTTCCTCTAAAAAGAACAGAGAATTAGGGTCCAGAAAAGCTAACAAAATGACTTGTTCCTACCCAGCATGATTTCTTTTTGCTGTCTCATATTTTATCTTAAAATTGCGTAAGATTTTTATATTCTGTTGCATTTCATACAACATGGTTTTGGCCATGAGATATTTTAGATTAGATAAGTCATTTAGAGAAGTCTTTGAAATTGAGCAGACCTGGGCTTGAATTCTGCAGTTCTGGTTTGGACAATTTTCTGGGTTTCAGTGTCCTCATCTGAAAAATGGGGTAATGACAGTCCATTGTTAGTAGGACATTAGCAAATGATGAGAAAAGGAAAGTCAGAGAAAAGGCTCTGGCATGCAGTAACAAGTCAATAATTATTACCTGAATTTATTTCTATGATTGTCTTCCAGGAAGATTTCCATGTTTATGCTATGGGTCTCACACCTTCTGGCTGCTCCCTGAGAAGCCTGTGGTCCACGTTTTCCATCAAGAGAAACTTTGTTTTGCCACTCTGTTGAACATTCCTCTGAAAACAACATCCTTCTCTGCCTTCCATGCCCCACACCTTGCTCCCTCAACCATTCTTAGTCCATGTCTGTTGAAAGCCTGTGGTGCCAAGTGTTGGGAGTGGAGGAGAGGAGGAAGGAGGTGAAAAGATGAAATACACAGAACTCTGCCCCTGAAGAACTTCTGATCTGGAAAGAGTGATAAAACTTGTTCATCCACAAGATACTGTTTATTCACAAGTTGTACAACTAGCACAAATAGAAATTCATGATAATCTGGAGGGAGAAAGGGGCCTAAAACCCTCCCTTCTCCATCCCCCTGTGATCACTCAGGAGTAGGTCTCAGTGCACTCATTGGAGACATATTCAAAGAGGGTGACCACCCATGGCTGAAGCTTCCAAAATTAGAAAGAATATTGGTAAGGACAGATATGTTCACCAGAATTCATGGAAGTAACTAGCCTCCATTCATTTTGAAAGCTATAATTTGGGGGATGGGGGTGTATTAGTTCATTCTCATACTGCTGTAAAGAAATACCTGAAACTGGGTAATTTATAAGGAAAAAGGGTTTAATTGGCTCATGGTTCCACAGGCTGTAGATGAAGCATCTGCTTGACTTCTGGGGAGGCCTCAGGAAACTTACAATCATGGCAGAAGGTGAGAGGGAGCCAGTACTTGACATGGCTGGGGCAGGAGGAAGAGCAAGAGGTGGGAGGTGCCGCACAGTTTTACACAATCAGATCTCCTGAGAACTCACTCAGTATATCGTATCAAGGGGGCATGGTGTTAAACCATTCACGAGAACTCTGCCCCTATGTCCTAATCACCTCCCACCAGGCCCCTTTCTCCAACACCGGGGATTACAATTAGACATGAGATTTGGCAGGGAAACAGATCCAAACCGTATCGGGGGAAACTGTACACAATTTATTGCTAAGAATAGTTGCCTCAGAAACATATGCCCCACCAGGAGTGATAAAGTCTAAGATACATATTATTTAAATAACGTGATGGATAATAATCATGGATTATAATAGCTAATATATAAATAATGCACAGTTACTATAGTATTCAGGATTTGTCTTACATTATCTCATTTAAAAACTGACAGATTCCCATGACGTTAGGAGTGAAAGAGGTATGTCTTAGGTTCAGCTATCCAGGAAACAGACTCTGAAGCAGATCTGTGGGTGGGACATTTACTGAAGAGTGCTCATAGGAACCACACCTGCTAGGTGGGACTGGGCGGGGCGGGCGGGGGAGGCTGAACCACAATTCACAAAGGTGACTTTGTGTTTTGTGAACCAAAAACACAAAGGTGACTTTGTTGTGATTCCCATGAGGACCTATGAAGCTGGGATAGCTCTTCAGAGATGTCCCTAGAGGAGGCCAGGGTTCAGGACTCTGTAGCCCTACATTGCCAGTCATTGGATACTGGCTGCTCCTGAAGAAGGAGCATGTGACATGCCTGGTCCCCTTCATGGTGAGAGAGGGAGCAAGAGAGATGCCAGGTTCGTTTAAACAGCCACTCTCACGTGAACTCATGGTGCAGAACTCACGCAATATTACAGGGTGGACACCAAGCCATTCAAGAGGGATCCACCCCTAGTGACCCACCCAGGCCCCACCTCCAACAGTGGAAATCACATTTCAACATGAGATTTGGAGGGGACAAATCACCAAACTATATTGAGAAACTTCTCTCTAAACCTATAAAAAGAAAATCATACGATTAGGCCACAGTAATTGGTGGCTTTTCAACGGTGTGGCTCAGTCACTTGGCCTTTCCTTCTCCTGGTTCCCTTGGAGGCTCTAAGCTTCCTGAAATTTCTGAATGGAAGGTTTTGATTCATGTGCTTGGTACCATGAGATGGGCCTGGACTGCTGCCCCTTTGGTACATTTCCAGCTTGGCAGGACCAGATGGGTTTCAGGGTAAAGTGGCCTGTGGGAGCTAGGGAGATGGATGAGGCCAGTCTTGCTCTAGCCTCTAGGAATGGTGGAGGGTGCTCAATTCCTCTGCTTTATCTCTGTACCTCTTTTTGCTATTAGAGGGTTAAGACTCAAAAAGGTTAGATATGATGGGTGAGGGGGAAAGGGCTCTGGAGTTGTATTTATTCTGGGTCTCTAGCCGGAGAAGCAACTCACTCTGTTTGCAGCTTAACAGGGCAGAAGTCCACTTATGGCCATGGTAAAAACGTTTCAACAGACATTTTCCTGAAATGCCCCCAATTTCGATCATCAACAAACTCTTTAGCTAATGACGAAATCAGGATTCCAACCATCTCTACCTTTTCCATCACAAAAATAAGGGGGAATAGTCATTACTATCCCCATGTTACAGGTTTAAAAAGATTAGAAAGGTTAAGCCCTCTGACCATGGTCATACCCCCAGACAACAGCAAGGCTGGAATTTATAACCACATCTGTTTGGATACAAGACCCATGCTCGTTTATTCGGGGGACACGTGTATTCCTTGGAATTCACCAAAGAGGATATCCGTGTCTTCCTGTCTCTTCCTTGGTAACACAGACACAGCTAGATTGGATGAACTCTAGGCTGGACCCAGGATCATAAGATCTCTGTTCTTTTCTTAATTTGAAGTGCCATAACTCTGAGCTTTCCAAGATCTAAGGGAAGGCAAGAAATGAAAGCCAGGCTGGGTGATTTATATAAAATGATAATGCGGCTCATGATCATTTTAGTCTGCAGTAAAACTGACGGGTCTGACACCCTCCACTTCCAGAAGGCCTAACTACTTGGACTCTCACACATAAAGCTCTCTGTTAATGGACCTGTCAGTTTCTTAAAGTGAGCAGTTTTTCATAACACTCCGTAAAACCAAAAAAATAAATAATAAAATTAAAAAAGAACATAGCATTTAACATGAAAATATGAGTATCATTTATTGAGCATGAGCTAAAAGCAGCAGAAAAAGAAACTGACAGATGAACAGTGGCTGGTGTTAGAAACAGAAGGATTCGGGAAGGGGGTTCTTTACCTATTAAACAGGGCCCTATTTTTAGCAAATCAAAAAAACAGACATTCATTATAAACTTAAAAGTAAAAAGCTTTACGTTATATTAACAATCTAGTATCCTTGTTATGATAGACTTAGTAACCTCAATTTAGACTCTCAGAGATCAGATTCATGTCCCATAAAACATATAGGGAATACATTACTGAGCAAATATATAGCAGTAGGTTACATAAATATCTATGCCCTATTAAGTTTTCAGTTATAAACCATGGTTTATTTTTGAACTGTTTTAATTCATGAAATTATTTACAAGTTTACAGACACCAAGAAACAAACTGGATATACTGTGTTATGCAAATGTTATTCCAAATACGGAAGTCACAAGAATAGACTCAATCTAGTGATCAACATATAATTATAAAAAATATTTCAGAGCTTCATTAATGGCAGCTGTTCACAAGATATTTGCAAGTGTTCAATGATTTTATTACTCCTCTATAAATACAGCTGAACTTTACAAAGTTCACCCTCCTTTTACCCTGTCCTATTGTTGTTTGCCCTGAAGTTTTAAGTTTATTTAAATATAATTTAGAGGGTCTGTCTACACACTAAGTAAAATCTGAACACGTAGAAGTTAACATCAACGTGATGGACTTATCTTTTTGGAGAGAGAGCATAATGCAGTAAACAAGAACTGGAGATTGAGTTCGTTGAGATGGGTCAGGTTCTCACTCTGGCACAAACAAGTTGGGTGACCTTGAGCAACCCACTGAGTCCTACCACATGTCTCACATACGGAAATGGATGTCACCTCTGCCTTACCATTATCTTAGGGGCGTTATGAGGATGTGGGAGATGGTTATATGAAAATACTTTGCCCCTTGAATGAAAATAAAGAAAGGTATCATGAAAAATATAATTATGTTTTTGGAGAATAGTCCATTGACAGAGAAACAGCAATCAAGTGCCAACATATTCTCCAGCGAGAAGGTATTTTGGTTCCACTTACCTAAGGCTGTAATAGGGTTATGAAAACATTCGAATGCTGTAAAGCACTAGTGAAACGGTATACAATAATAACAATGGCAACAACAATGTAGCAAGGGAACGTTACTGAATCATGAAGCAGAAACAGGCAGAACATCCAGTTACATTTGAATTTCAGACAACGATTTCTTTTACTGTAAGTATGCCTTGTATATCGCACGGAACATACTTATACTACAAATTATTCATTTAAACTCAACTGGGAATTCTCGTTTTGTTAGTTTGTTTTCGGGGAGGAAGAGGGCACTGTTTGGCAATCCTAAAGGCAAAAACGCTTTGAGAATTGTCTGTCCTCCTACCCTGAGCATGATAAACCATCTTGATCTTTCAGGGTATTTATTTCTTGCCTTATCTCTTGGTTTGTCCCTCTTGAATATTAAGGGCTTCAAGGACATCTCCTTCTTCTGACCCCTATTTTTACGTCTCCTTCACCACATGCACCACCATACATCATTAGAATGTAATCCTATGTATTCAGTTATGAATTTGTCTCCCCAACTTGACAGTGAATCAATTGAGGGAGGGACCCATTCATTTTGAACACCCAATGCCTGGTTCAATGCCTGGCACAAAGGAAGTATTCTGAAAATATTTTACGATTAAGGATTACAGATTTTTTTCTCATTCCATGCTACTCAAATGACTAAGAACCAGTGTACAAGTCAATAATCCATGTCTCTCTGATCTGACCTTTCCCATTGCCATCCAGATCGATCAGTCCAGTTGCAACAAACTCTTGGCTGTCTCAACTTACATTCCCACAAGCACCTCAAATGCAACACATCCAAGACTCAATGCATCATCTCCCCCTTCTTTCTTCGTGCCAGATCCGCTAACCCAGGCCAGAACCCCAAAGTTCTTCTAGACTACTTTCTCCCCCTCATCTCTAAGGCCTTTCACTAAAAACTTTTGAGAAGGTTTAGAAAGGAAAGTTCTGATTACATTGGTTTGGCCTCAAGCCAGGGGATAGGGGCTTTTTAAAAGCGCTTCATTTGATTCAGTGGTATTTAGAAATCAATGCCCTGTAAAATATAGCAAAAGACCTACCAACAGCCTCTCTGTACAGGCTTCCTAATTCCATGTGAAACATGAAAATATCCCCATCTATTTTGTACTTATAATTTTGAGAACCTTATTAGATTTTGACCTGAAATACTATTTTCACTTATGTTTTAAAAGTGCTCTTTGCATGCTAGCTGTGATCTGAGACAA